AATTTTTTTTTTGTACGGGATGCGTGTACTGAACACCTTGCCCAGTCCCAGGTTCAGTGTGTGTCATCCCTTCATTGCTGGCATAAAGCTTCTTTTTTTTTTTTCTTTTCTGATGGAGTAAGCTTCGTTTTTTGTGAACCTTTGTTATAATGAAATAGGTACTGATCTTTTTGTTAAATTTTTGGGGGAGATTGTAGAGTTATCTTTGTGAATCGGCATGAAGGCCGTTTATAGTACTACATTGTGTATTAGAGGGTTTGGCGTTGGACTGTTTAGAGGTTGTCCATTTCTGTTGGTGGTGGTTGGTCGGAGGGTTTGGCGTTTGAACTGGTTAGATGTTACCCCTTTGTGTTGGTGGTGGCTGATTGTAAGCTATATGAAGAGGCGGTCTAAATAAACCTGGTAGCTGAGTTTGAGATGTCGTCCTGTCCTTTTCTGTTCCTTCGACTTACATACTCATTTCTGCCCCAGTCTCAGGTTCATTCAACATGGTTAGTGATGTCGTTGAAGCGCGCAATGCCTTTACGCCGCTCGCCTCTCTTTCACTTACAAAGCCGATGCAGTGAGCAAGTGCAGCAAGCTATCCCAGCATAATAACCCAGCCAATCCAGCCTGCTTTCTACGGCATTTAAAAAAAAGGGAAGAGTGCACGTGCACACCTTTGGGCACGGCTTAAGCTGAGAGAGTGCACGGACTCCAATAGCTTTGCTCATATAGCCTCCCATATAGAAGACTCTTCTTCATACCCACAAAAAGTACTGTCAAAAAAAAACAAAAAAAAACGGCATCCGGCATGTGGCACTTGCTTGACACCGGTTGCAGCCGAAATCGAGATTTCATTGCCCTCTAGAGGTTGGGGCTGAGACAATGCATGTAGGACGAAGTGAGGCCCAAGCAACGCGAAATGCCTCGCTGACGCACGCCTTCCGTTTACTTTCAAGAGCAGTGGTGTGCCCGCGGCTGATGCAGCAAGCTAATACAAAGAAACTATATCCCAGCCAGTCCAGTACCACGTGACCACGAGCTCCGCGAAGCGCAAGGCAAAACCGGAAAATCACATCCTCCCAGTGCTTGATTGACTCGGATTGCTTGTAACGTCCGCATGATGCATCTCGGCTATTTCGGCTATTAGTTGCTCAGTCTTTTTTGTGTGTTTGCAGATCGCAAGGTATATTGCATCTTTTGACACGAATGGGAAAACTATTTGTATTTCAAGCCCTATTTTACCATAAGTGCGAGGGAAGCCGAAAACACGAGCGCATTGTTTTTCTCACTTCCATGGCCTGCAATGACGCCAGATAAGCTGCCATTGTAGTGGCCTTGCTGCCGAGCACATGTCTTTATGCAGCTTAAATTTTGTGGCATCGCACTCTTTTTTTCTTGGGAAGAACAAGTATGGATGACCGCCGGCATGGACCAGCGACGTCACGTCCATAGTACAAGCCATGTATACCGCCAAATCCTCCGAACTGACGTACCCTTGCTTTGAGAGCTACGCGACGCCGTAGAAGCCGAGCTGAGTAGGATTACCATATTCACCGTTGTCACGTTAGCCATTAATGCCCTCCTTAGATCATGCAACAAATTCAAAGGCGTTTGCATTCAGTCGTTGTATTGCGTTTCGACACAAATACCAGGCGTCCTAAAGAATGTAGAGCGTTTTTTTTCACCGCGCAAATTAACTATACGCACCGCCCAAAGCTCCCTTTCGGCGCAGATGTAGCGCCAGCGGTCCGAACCGTATGACAAAGTTTCAGCACTAGGCCTATCCTTATTTGAAAAGTATAAATGATTTTCTAAAAACTTCAATGTGAAAATGGCGGCCGACGGAGCTTTTGAATACATGGTGCCGAATGGGCGCCAATTACAGAAAATGGATGAAAATGGGCAGATTTTCCTATTAAAGTGTTTAGAAAATCACTTATAACTTTGGCAAATGGTTCAGAACGTTACAACCACAGTTGGGTGGAGATAAGCATTCGGCAATGCGTTCTCGTTTTCTGGCAAAAAAAGAAAAAAGATACGTTTGCCGAAGTACAGCGCAGCTGTTGAGGAGAAGTGTCGGGCGCGGAGGGGAGGGTATGCCCCTGCTCCACCTCAGTACCCTCCGCTCCTCCTCTCCTGCTTCCCTCCCATTTAGCGAGAAATTTTCGCTAAATTTCCCTATAAAGGAAGCGGAACATTTTGGCTTTTGCTGCTATATTTACCGCAAAATTTATCAACATTTTCCCGCTAAATTTAGCGGGAAATTTACCAAAAATTTTCTAACTAAATTTAGTGGTAAAACGCAGTCGGCGTCGGCTTCGGCGTAACCGCGCGTCGCATTATGTGACGTTCAAACGTCACGTGTGACGTCACAAGGGTAAACTTTGCCTGCTAAATTTAGCGAGAAAATTTTATCCTCCTGACGTCATCCTCGTGAACGTCACACGTGGCGTCACGTGTGACGTTATTATGGGAAACGTCCCATTTATGTAACGCGCGGTTACGCCGACGCCGACGATGACGACGCTCAACCCGGAAACGGGCGCAAAAGAGCTGCACTTTAAAAGTAACCTGTGATCTTTTGGGGACACGATGTAGATGACGACGCGGAGTATGGCATGAGCTCCGACGCTGAGATATTTCAAAGTGCATATTTCTTGCAAACATAAGTTGGGCCAGAAAATGATCGAGATGTGATGCTGCCGATAGAAGCCAGGGAGCCAAACAAGCGCTATGAGCTGAAGGCCCTGGTCAGAAATCCACTGACCTCTATTGTAATAGGCGGGATCGCATATCGAGGCTTGTCTTTCTGGGGTCGAGTGGCACCACCGGCAGCCATTACTTGACACCAAGTAATGCATGGGTATCTATGGGAAATACGAGAAAAAGTCCCGTTTCCCACGTTTCTAAGTTGTTCTCGGCACAGAAAAGTTTTTGGCTGGTTTTCGGGAAGCCTGCCAAATAGCTTGTGCACAAGCATTAATACTGACAGCCCTCGAAGTTCTTATAAATAAATGTTTTGTGGTTAAGATTGGCCCCACTGGGTAAAAAAAGAAAGTGTAGTGGAACTCAATGAGAAAAGAGTTACCTAGTGTTACCGAGGAGTCGGTGGCGGTTTTGATCAGTTGGGTTTAGCAGACGACAAGCTTGAATAATTTGCTACGCGGAATTCGCTCACCCCCGGAAATCCGCTGTCAACATGGAACTTTTTCGACATTCATAAAAATCTCGGCTTCCCCAAGGGTGGTCTTATCGACGGCAAGTTCCTTTGTTTACTCCATGACAAAGCAAGCTTGCCACCTCCGCCGTCGGTGCTCTGGCACGTTTGATTTTTTTAACAAGCGTGCGACAGATACAAATTTTCTCGCCAAACACCCGATGGAATGACCGCAGCACATAATAAAATACTCGCGTTCGAGCGCTGCGTACGAACTTCACTGTTCCTACTTTTGTGTGTTTCTCTCATAGACTTGCAGGTGTTGCCTCGTCCAACCTACTGCATAACAGATCAGTGTAGGATTCACGCTTGGCGGAAGACACGTACGACAAGACCACGAGCGATAGCCGCACCGCAATTTCCTTTCAGAACCGCTCCATAACCGCTCATTTTAGTGCTGCGTCGCGATTTGCTTCCAAGTGTCGCTCGAGGCACGGGCTCGTGCATTGGCATATTTGATGATTCGATGCCGCTTCAAGAACAACAAAGACATCAAGGGGCTTAACAAACGTTACTAAAACACTCAGTTGGGAAACTTACCATTGAAACCCGGGCCGCTGGCGTCCACCAAGACCGAGCTAAATACCACAATAGCGCCACTCTTAATCTTTTGTCTTTTCTGTGGTCACTTGAGCTTTTAGAAAGTATGTTCTTGCGTAAAAACAAGCGGAAAAAACTCGTTGTAGTAACTTTTATTGGAGTTTTGTACAAAATGAAGGGGGCGGGAGGTTTTCGAAAATCTTTAGTTTGCAAGGTTTTGCGGCAGAATTAATATTGCTTTTATACCACCATATGTCAGCGGTAATTTCAGATAGCACGTCCCGACCTAGGCACATCCTAACTTCGGTAGAAACTCGCGGCGCGTCTGCTTGGGAGAAAGGGGAGGCACCACTGAAACCCCTTCTACCGTGTCTGTTTCGGCGCCATTATGGCCCACCAAAGCCAAAATAGAAGTCAGTGCAGTTCCTCGAGTGTCCGCTACTGGAGAAATGGCGGCGTTGCGATCGCCATTAGCTCGGCTCTCGAGTACGGATCGGTGCCACTTTTTCAGAGCAGGCTCCATGGCAGTTTCCCTACTGAGCGGTTTTAGTAATAGGGCGTACGTGCCTTACCTTGTCGCACTTTCCCGAGTGCCTGGTCAGCAGTGATTGCCAGAGCACTCGGTCACACGTCCGAATGGTTTGAAATTCAGGCAAAAATTTTCGCAGAGCGCTCTCTTTATCTCTGCCGCCGAGCACAGCGTGAACATTTCGCTACTGCTACTCTCAGACTGGAGAACAGATAGACCAAACCGGTGTTTAGTCTTGAACCGGCTCATCACACCGCGATGGGGCGGGAACAGATCGAAATGGCCGCTGCGCTCAAATAGGAGAGCGGATTGACCAAATCGGTGAGCAATCTGGTCATTCAGCGGAGCAATATGAGCCAACAAGGTTTCTGTATGGCTGAATGTGAACATAAACCCTTTACATTTATAGGCTTCAAAGCTGTTTTTGCATTTCAGCAGAGGCGCAATATTTGTCAATCTCAGCTTGATATGTTCATACTTTGTCATCCCAGACACAAGTGAATATTGAATATGCGGTCAGAGAAGAAGTCGTATCGAAGACCACTTACTGTTTCAACTTAAACTGCCAATATTTGTATTTCTGGCTGTCGATAAAAAACATATTTCTTGCGAGTGGTGCCCCACACAGAACAGTGTACTTGACAGTGAGAACTTGTTTTCGATCAGAACTCTTCAGGTCAGACATTTTATTCACATTGAAGCGAAAGTACCTGAACTTTTATTGCCGTCTTACTCAAGCATGGCGCCAACTGCCCATGGCTGCAATGACGGGGAGGATGTTATTTTCATCGATTGCATACTTTTCCCGACTGCAATTGCATCCACGATCAAGCGGGAACCCTGCAATAAATATGTCATTACATGTAAAACATTCTTTTAGACAAGCTTCATTGTCAACACGTAGGTGGGTATGCAGAGACTCTAGATATTTTGTTTTCACCTTAAGAAAATTATATCAACCTATATCGAATACATTTCTTAAGTAGCTATATATTTTGCTAAAACACTTAGTGCTGTTTCAAGCTTAAACGTTTTTGCATCATAAAGTACAATGTATGTTCCTACACCTCATTTACGTGCCCAGGTACTGAAAAAAGGTTTAAAAAGAACGGCGTCCTTGCTGAAAGAATATTTCCGACAGGGTTTACTGTCGCGAAAGTCTAAGAAAAGTCTACACTTTACGAAGACTTATAATCTGTTCATAGTGACTATGTTATCTTAAGTTGGTGTTAAATTGTCTGGAAGACATTAATACAGTTGTACATTACCATGTTTTAAGTTTTTGAAGACAGGAAGGGAATGATTTCGAATAAGATCATTTTAATCATATTTGGAGACAACTTTTATTGGCAGTGCTGTCAAAGGTAAGGGCATGCGTGCGGAGTGCCCTCTCCTATTTTGCGCACTGATTAAACCTCTGCGCGCACTCTCGTGCACACCTGAGAAAGGCAAAAAATTATATAAAAATATTCCGACTATATTAAAGAAAAGCTATGAGAGAAAAAACACGTAACATTTTTTTACGTTTTACGAGCCTATTTTACAAGATTGGCAAAAACGAGGAACGGGGGGGTGATACGTCCCTACGGTTTGACTGAGGCAATATGAAGGTATAAGTGTAATTGGGCTATATGCGGAGTACTTATTAGTTTGGGGTTCTAGAACTAAAACAAATTTAGAAAGGTCTGTTATCATGAAAACAAGGCAGTACGCTGGACCTAATATCTTAATCACATAGATCATACTGCTCTGATTTTCTAAAGCACAATTTACTCAACATTAGCAAATTGTTTTATCTAAAACTTTCAATTTATGTACGAAATGACGTAATCAGGAAAAAAACTTTTTGTTAGTTATTCCTTCGGAATAATACTGAGTATAATTTGAGGCATGAATACTACAGAATACCGCCCACGGGAATTATACATTATCATATTTAATACCTCATTTTTTTAATTTTTCAAATATTATGTAAATATTTGAAAATACTTTTTTAGACCACGTAAAAATATACTCTGTCGTGTCCTCATTAATAATTATAGTTTAAAATTTCTTACTACATATAGCCTTATGTTTAGGATTGTCAATTAAATGTATACTGCTCTTCTTCAATGAAGCCACTGTCTCAATATGAAATGTTTTGTGTAAATGTTATGATAATAATAATATTGTGCTGTTTGTTTCTGCCCATGTTTATTTATATTTATTTGTTGCGTATTTTTACTGCTGGCTGCTGCAATGTCAAAAGAATGAACAAACGAACAACTTGAAAAGTACGCCAGCAGATACAGAACTAAAATCTGGGGAAAGTTAAGACAAGTCGAACTTACTTCCGGTACGTATATCGCTTGTACTACCGATCGCGCGGGGTAGTGGTTCTTAAAAACTGAAACGAAGGAAATACATTTTTGTTGAATTGTTCACGATTATTTATAGTGTTAAAGCCATATAAGGACGAGAGATAGAACTTACTCTCTGAGTAGACCTCATTCATCTCTTCGTAGTCGTTCATGTCGGCAAGATACACCGTCACCTTCACCACTGATAGTCCGGAAAGAAAATTAAGTATTATTATTTTCGCTTTTCATGTCAGTGTTTGAGAAACTTTATATGTACCTGTCCTTCAGTAGTCCGTAATTGAAAACTGCTGGTTTTGATAGGTATATAAAGTAAATTATTGCAGGTCATAAAGCTCTTTCATCCTCTTATAGTGCGATTATTATTATTTAAATCTCGTATTTCAGGCACAAATAATATTGCTCTGATCGACGAAGTTTTAATATTACTGCACTGGTCATTTGATTTACGCCACAGTAAGGAAGTACTACTGAAATTCTTGAGAAGTTTACCGAAAAATCAATGATATAACCTAAACCGACTAAAACGTGAACTGTTTGCAGAGGTTCGTCTTTTTTACTTTGAAATGATAAGAGACTTTAGGAAGGACACATTTTATATTCACTAAGCTCTAACTTTAACCAAACTGTATTTCCTTGGAAATGATGGCACCAAAATTGTCAAGAGGTTTGAGGTCACATGGACGGTTGATGCGAGGAACATTACCGATCGCATCTACTTTACTGCCGATTTCACTGTGATCAGTCTAAAATGGCAATCTTGACCTTTTGGGATACCTTCATTATTTTCAGTTTTGCTTTTTGCACTGTCATGGTGGGACATTCAAGAAACGAAACACTACCAGTTTATTTTTTGTGCATGCCAAGCTATACTCTCAGCTGATGCATTTGGACGATTGCCAAACACCTCGTTGAAAAGACGAAAAAAAAAATCCCTGATGTTTTTTTTTGTGTTGAAGCAGTGCGAACTTTTCAAGATAAGCTATAATAGAATCTATAGAGCACGTAACCTGCTGGGCACTGTAAAAATGTTAATTAGATTTCGGGAATCTGAAGATAGTCTTACTCAAAATGGGTTTTAATGAGACGAAAATTACTTTTACGCATTTTTAAAAACATACACAAGGTACACGACACTCAAGAAAGTGCACAAATTTGACCACGTGATACTTCCTGAAAACGCAAAATCCCCCAAAAAGCGGGCGCATATGTCAGACAGAAAAAAAATAGTAAGGAAAAGTTATAGGCTAGAAGGGCCTCCCAAAGAGAACTTTACGTGAGGACAATTGTTCATTGTTTCGAAGTTTACATTTAGAAAACATTTTCACCGAGAAATGAATAGTTTGTATGCTTTTAATGTAGTGAAATATAATCCTCTTCACGTTGGAATAATACACTAATTTCAAGTTAGAAGTGGTTGATATTATTATTATTAAATAATGTAGGCAAACATATGTTATGAATAAAACCAACCATTTTTACTCAATATTAGTAACACCCTGCTCTAATAGCAGTTTTAATGTCCGCATCTTATCCGCAACTGTAGACTTAGTATACGCACCCTAACCACCTCCGCGATGTCCTTAATTTATTGTATTCGCATTCGACCCGTATCCGCATACTTTCTATTCTTCATCTGAACCCCATCCGCAAGTTTCGGAAGAGTATTCAACCCGGTATCCTCGCATTAATATTCCATCATGAAATCATACGTCTGAATGATATTTTATAAGCGGTAAGCATATCGTTGTACATGAACTCTTTGAGTAAGAATATGGGGAAAGTAATTTTATCGTATATTGTTTTATCGTATTCCTATTATAAGCTATCATCCATTCAAAGACACTTCGCGTCACTGAAAAGATTGTCATCATGATTTATTATTCCTTGAAGGCCCAGGGGTATTATTCAAGGAAGTGAACAGCTAAAAAAAAAAACGCAACTATTTATCAACAAAGACACGTTGCAATCTAGTTATATGTTTGAAAAAAATAAGGTAATGGCTGCAGAAAATTTCTTAGTGTCAGATAAGGGAACATTTACGACAGGCAGTGAGTTCCAGTCGTCAATGGCCAATGGTAAAGTAGACATTTGGTGAGTAGCGGTTGACGATGAAATCGGACAGAGTTTACAAGAATGGTCAAGACAAGGGAAACTGCGGTAAGGAGGTGATAAGAAACTTTGTCTGAGATGACTGTTGTAATAAAAGATCCGATGAAGAAGAGAAAGACGAGACACCCTGCGGCGCTGAGAAAAAGTGTCAAGGTTAGCTGATTGGCGAAATCCTGATATGCTTGCGTAAGAGTCGGAATAAATAAAACGGAGGGCTCTGCTTTGAACGGATTCCAGGTTGTCAGTTAGATATGCCTGCCACGGTGATCATATGGTAGGAGCGAATTCTAGCTTAGTTCTGACCAAGGTAGTATAAGCTAGTTGTTTTACTGGGGATGTAGCTTGTCTGAGGTTACGGCGAAGAAATCCGAGAGTGCTGTTAGCATCGGAAATGACAGCTGTTATTTGAGTGGTCCATGACAGGTCAGATGTTAGATTAATTCCTAGATATTTACACGATGAACAAGCAGTTACTGGGATGCTAGAAAGGTGGTAAGATGATGGCAGTATTGAAACCGTCCAGGAAGGTGGTAAGATGATGCAGTATTGAAACCGTCCAAAATATCTGCGATATTCTGTCCAGAAGATGCGCTCACATAAAACAAAATCGTATATATATTTTTTTTTTGCTTAGTAGCACCCACTTCAAGCAGACGCGTATTTTCTAAGCATAAAATGAATAAAGGACATTCTAATATCATTACGTCATTTTATATAGGAAGAACAACATAAAGTAGGAAAGAAAAGGAAATCACTCTCCGCGAAGTACTATATATACGTGGTAAGACCATGCATGTACAGCACTGGCATAATATTACAATATTCAGTAACATCAACACCAATATGTGTCTGCTTTAAACACGACAGCGAACTGCGTTTTTCAAACGACATACTTATCAACAACCATCCAACTGTCGACAAAACGAAAAGCAAAAAAAAAAAAAAAAGGAATACACAAGTGACGTTTTACTTGTCGAGGAGGCTTCCACTGCCCTGTGCCTTCTACGTTTTGAGATTTCTTTGCCCGAAAAACGTTTTCTGCTTCTTTTCCAAAAAAAAAAAAAATAATAATAACGCATTTTTAGGACGATAGATGCCCCTGCATTTTTTTAAACGTTTTCTAGGAACATCGATTTGGCGAAATTGAACGCTCAAGAGCAATCTTTGGTGAGAATCAGGACTTTCTTTGCGTAATAAAGTCCTCTGTCGGATAAACTGGTCGTTGTTTAAATACAGGTACTTGGAACAAAGAAGGGCTATAGACGATAGGGCTCAGTACACGAAAATTGCTAAAGATGTTCTAGGCTGCTATGCCTGTCAGCCTGAGGGGAAGGGACATCTAGGTTTTGCACAAAGAGAAAGAAAATGGTAGGAGACTCCTGAGGGGAAACCTTGCGTATTTTGACCTCTGGCAGTTATATAAGCGCACCGTTCTTGGCATTGGAAAGTGATAAGAAGCGTTTTTTGTGTAGCCAAGGTCTTGTTTTGTGGGCTTTTCAAGTAAAGTAAGGGTTGTACTTGAGTTGCTTGTTATCGCATGTGGTGGTCAGCCCTCGCATGAGTTTGTCAGGGTGGCTGGTTGGTGTGGAAGGGGGGCACCATGAATCAATTGAATCCGAGTTTCCGGCTTTCGGTGACCTAGTGGAGAGGAGGTGTTTCTTTTTCCGTAGTGAGGGTTATTGTTCCGTGTCTCCGGTTACTACGGAAGAATATTCTTTCCTGTTTGCATCTTTTCTCTAAGGGAGCAATTTGCTCCCATGAAACATTCGATTATGTACTTACTTTTGAAGTCAATAAATTAATGCATCACAGATTTATTCACTCTACACTCTGTGGTCTCGCATTTCGCTGGGCAGTCTCGGCCAAAATGTGGATCCGGACCCGCGGATACCCGAACCTGGTCCGTAACCGCACCCCATGGCATCCGCATCCGATATCTACCAAATAGGATTCATATATATCCGCATCCGCCAATTCAGTGTGGATATCCGCGAATGATCCACAGGTAATCAGTGGATATGAAGGGCCCTGGTAATATTATATACTTATTATAGTATAGTCAGTTATAAACTGTATCTTGTATTAACATTGAATGAACAGAGCTTCACTCCAAGAGGGGGGGAAGGGGGGACCGCAGAGGGTCCCTTTTTGCAGTTTCAGTAAATTGGATCCTAATGCATATGCCAGATTTATATCTGACTTAATATTTTGCTACAAAGTTGATGAGCAATAAGAGTGTTTACAAAATAGATGTGAGAGAAAAGGCAACTGGTTCATTTGTAATGTTTTGTTGTGTGCCCTAGAAATCAGACGCCACAAAATGTTTTTGAAATATTCGATTTCACCACCAGTTTGTATCGAAATACTCACCGGTATTCAAATCGTATTCGTACACCTGCAGGAGCCTCCTTATCGCATTCAGTGCCTGAAAATTAAAATAGTATATATGTTGCCAGTTATTATGCGGGACCAATAATATTGTTATAAGTAAAGATTTTTATATACTCAAGCTACACTTTTTATTTCAACCACTACAATTACGGTCAGAACTAAAGTATATAGAAAAATGTTAGTAAATCAGAAGTACTTATTTGAGTCATAACTTTTAGCAACGTGGTTTATTATTTTATGTAAATACGCCACTATTACATAACGTGCATTTGTGAATGTCGTCTACATTTTAACCAGTTCATGTGAGATGTCACAAAAAATGCTATCAAGCAAATGAAGCTCGTATAAGGCTGTAAGCGGACCTTGATATTCACAAGAAACATTTTAAAAGTTTTCTAGCAGATACGTAGAGTTTGCACCTCTTTAGCCATTCTGATGCAAGCTTCACCTCGGACATAAGCATTACTTTATTTGTTTGGCTGTACATCTTGTAACCATCAAAATATTTGCCCTATATTTCGAAAGGCATGTATTGTACGAAAACAACTCGACTTGCAGGGTGATAAGAAGCATTACGACACAAAAGTACACAGTCTTAACCACATCGCATTCATCAAGACACGTGGTATTTGTAACCCTCTATGTCACGCGACCTCCAATGGGTAGGCTGCGAACAAACGAGATATAATTATACCAGTATAAATTTACAACTATAAAAACATGCAATAAAAAGCGAATCTAGCGCGGCTCTAAGCAAAAGGACTTTTTTTTATTTTATTTTTAAAAGTTTTAAGCTGCTAAGGAACTTCTTAAACGCCACGCTCAGTAGGATACAAGTAAGAACGTCGCGTTCTTTGGGGGTGCCTCGTTTCAAAGATTTAGGAAGGGCAGTTTCTAGTTTCTTGTCAAACATTTTGTCTGGGATGCGTAATCCGTTTTCATTCGCGCATAATTTATTTTTGTAGTTTAATGCATATAGCGCCAGTGTCGACCTCTTGGTTTGGAAGCATTTGAACTCTCTGGTTTAAAAGCAATAGACCTACACGTTGTTGACAGACAAAATTGCTTTTGCTAACACCACGTGGGAGCACTGCGCGTGAGCAGGAACCAGATTAGCGTCAAGTGATACGTCTGCTCATGATCCGCGTCGACAGTAGCCCCACTGTAGATGCGTGGTAATGTATATTCACTAATAGTTCACTACTTTTGTCATGTTATAAAACAATTTGCTAAACATACTTAAGGTACATTTGTAGTTTGCTAATACTTCTTTCAATGTATACTTTTAGTACGAATACTTTAGGTGGCAAAAATGGCCTAAGAGCGAATTTCCGCGGAAATTCGTCATCGACGACTCTCACCAATCAACATCCAATCTGCATTTGCTGCGTTGTTGACGTCACTTCCTTCTCCCTAGTCGCCGTGGGAGTCCAGAATGCGCAACATAAGACCCCTGGACTTAAGTACTCAAAATATACTTCAAATGTACTCTCGGGTCCAGGAGAGTACAAAAACTAGTACGCCAAATCTGTCACGTTTTTCACCAAGCGATTCCTATCGGCTCCTTGAACGGACGTCACATCACATACGTTTGACTACCATATAAAAGGAGGAGAGGGAAGCTGCTTTTGTAAAGATTCTGAGTGACAGGTTACTCTTCTATAACCTTCTGGGAGGAGAATAGCGACGTCTGTGAATATCCATGAGGCACAAAGGAGGATCATCCTGTTAAGGGGAGAGCTCCTTCTTCCCCTTTTCTCTAAAGGTCACCGGAGCGCTCTTTCAATGACGTCACGTGCAAGCCATGTATTACAAGTCAAGAAGGTGGGAAAAGCTGCTTTCACAAGCGTGATGCGCCCGTTTAAATTCATCCGCAGTCAAAAGAATAGTTAACTGAAAACGCCCTTCGTTCCACTTCAATGAATAGATATCGGCTAAAGAGTGATGCCAGCTTGTCTCCGACCCCCCCTTTTTAAGAAAGCGACCTTTGTATTCATCGGAGAGGGAACCGAGCCCCTGAAAGTGACCTTTGTATTCATCGGAGGGGGAACCTAACCCCCCAAAGTCGTATTTGTTTCCATCGGAGGGGGAAAACTCTAATCTCCCTCTCGTGGCTTCCACAACGCTAAGTCAAAGTCGGAAGTCAAAGCAAATATTTACAGGTAAGCAAAGCCCTCTCCCGCGTTGGTCACTACGTCACGGAAACGATGGGACGCTATTGAATGCGGAGGTGGCGGAGGGATGTATGAATCCCTTTGAGGGGAATTTGCCGCTACCTTCTTTACCTGTAACTTTCTATAGGTCAAGTGTGATAACAAAAATTGCTTGACAAAAAAAAAAAAAGAAAGACAGGATTATTGCATTATCAAACTTACTTGTCGAGTTTCCGGACCTATTCCCCCTGGAACCAGGCCATCGAGGGGATCGCCACCCGTCCTGCCGCTCACGTAAGTGGTGTTCCCCACGCGAACGCCGGCGCTAACCACAGAGAAAAGAGAGATGTGATCGCGAAGGAACTTCAATATAGGTATAATGTAGAGTAAAACGAGATAACTGTTTAACGAGGACTATTTAAGTTTAGGAACAAAGCTAACAAGGCGGACCGAAGGACATGTTCCCTTTACGAGCACCGGACGAAGACTCCCTTTCGGTGAGTCGTCTTCACGTAGGCGAGGGAGAATACATTAAAGGCCAGTGAAAAGGGAAAAAATTTTTTTTAACAGTCTGGTTGAGACCGCGAGTCAAAAAATTAATTTTACGCGAAAAAAAGAAAGTGAGAGCAATATTGACGGAGCGAGATTTATTCTAGTTGCCTCTGAATTATGTGCGCAAGGCCCATGACGTCAGGGAATGGTCCTACACTCTTTCCACCACAACGAGATGGTCATAGACTCTCTACACATTGACGTAATGGCCACAACTTCCCTGCTCCACGAGCCTGAAACGCCAATGGAAAACAAGTGGAAAGGAGGTGACTACCCACTACATTGCGTCTCGCGCCGTCAATATTGCTATACATTTTTTTTTTCGCTTAAAACTTCTATTTCGACACGCGTGTCCAAACCGGGCTGTCTAAAAAAATGTGTTTCTATCTTTTTAGTGGCCTTTTAAGAAGTCTGGCTCTTTAGCCGACGGTACCCCGACGGTACCCCTGCGGCCGCCGTCCGCTTGCGCTGTCTACGTCGCAGGACCGTCCGCGTCAGGGGCTTGTCTACTCGGGCCGCCACAGCACTCCCTTCCGAGTGAGCAGGCGAACGCTGTGCCTCATTGAGGACGAGCCGATCCGGCCAGCGAACTCTGCGGCCGTAACGCGTCGTTCGTCCCGGAAGGGGATTCCGAGCGTCTGTAGGAGGGCCTTGCTTGCCCCGGGGGTCCGGCGCAGCTGCAAGTCTGGGAGCGAGGAAGTTAGAAGGCTAGGGTGTTTCGTTGTGGTTGTCTCCTACGACATTTATGGCAGGTTCCGTCGTTGTAGGCCTGGGGAGAGGGGGGGCTTGAGACGGTCCATCTAAATCACCTTGCCTCGGCCTCTCATCCGGAGTGTGAGGTGTTTTGGTCCGCATTTCAGCACGCAGAAATGACCGTCGTACAGGGCCTGGAGCGTACGCTGGATGTGACTGTGCCTGACAAAACATGCGTGCAATGTGTCAGGTTTCGGCATCATGAAGGCGGCGGCCTTTGATGTCCTGGTGGCCGTTGGTCAAAGGCTGTCCATCATTGCCCGCAGTCGGTCGACGTAGTTTGTTGGATCTAGCGGTCGGTCTTTCACTTGCTCAAAAAACTGCCCAGGTAGCCTGAGATATGCTCCGTAAACAAGCTCCGCACTAGTGCACTCGAGTTCGGACTTGTAGGCCTAGCGGATGCCGAGGAGAACTAGCGGTAGCGTCTCTGTCCAGTGGGTGCTGTCACCGTGGGCCGTGAGGGCGGACTTCAAGTGGCGATGGAGTTGCTGGACGAGACCGTTGGCTGAAGGGTGGTACGCCGCGGTGTGCAGGTGCGTCTTGCCGTGGAGTTACGTCAGGCCTGATAACTTTCGTGGTCAGCAGGCGCTGGGTAGCCCTGATTCCCGGATGGGAGAGCCTGGGAAGTGCGCCGAACACCTTGCGTCGATAAGGTTCGGGAACGTAGGGTCGAGGCGTTCCGGTGAAGATGTCGCACAGAAACTCTGTGTCCCACATTGGTAGTACGACCATCCGGAACTCGAGTCTACTAGGCGCGTCATGCAGGTTCTGTAACCTACTGTCCCTCTGCTGACCAGTCGCCTGTTCTGGCAGCAGCTAGCGCCACGCACCGGGCGGCCGCCTCGTGAGACTGCGTGCAGCAGGCACGACACAGTTGTAATGCCGGCAGGACGATCTCGGCGGCGGGCTACGCTGGCTCGTTCCTTTTGTATGTATATTTGTGTGTATATAAACCTGTAACAACTCGCGACGAGGAGAAACGCAGGTGAACGGTCTTGTTCCGTACCGGGAGAGACGACGTAGCGCCGGCGCCATGCCGAAGTTGGAAGCATTTACTGGAGAGGTTGGGGACGCGTTGCAAAAGTACGTTGAAATTTTTCAGCAGCACCTCAGCGCTCACAGCGTTCCGGTGGACAAACAGCGTGCAGTATTCCTGAATTCGTGCGGAAGACCGATGTATTCCCTGCGCCCAAGGTTGGCGGCATTCAGACGCGCAAGTGAAGTTCCACTTAGCAAACGTTCACCGCTGCTTACGGATCGTTATGCACCAAGACCGTCCGCGATTGTCCAACGCTACCACTTCTATTGCCGGACGCATAACGAAAGTCAAGCCTTTAAGGATTTCATTGTCGAGCTGCGTAAGCTGGTGTATACATGTGAGCTCAGTCGGGAGCTAGACGACAATCTTAAAGACAGATTCCTCCACGGCATTCGGCGCGACCTCATGAGAAGACGCCTTTTGAATGAGCCCGAATCGACACTGGACCGAGTCGTCCAGATTGTTTTGAAAATGGAGGCAGTGGCTAAGGGAGGGGAACTGATGACTGGCCAGGTGGAAGGGACTGCTCTGTATCTAGTGTAAAGTTCCAGGGAGGCGGCCAACGATGTCATCGTTGCGGTGGGCGGCATCATGAGTCTGCGTGCAGATTCCGAAGGCTACAGTGCCTTTCTTGCCATAAGAAAAGACATGCGGCAAGGAACTGTCCGTACGAGCAAAAAACAAAGAATTCGGAAGACACGACGGTCACTGGCAGACAGCATGCCGTCGAATGGGTGGGAAGCAATGCCTGACGAACCGTGATGCCGGTGGAGACAGCGTCCGGCGACGAGTCCGGAGGGACAGACGTCGACAGCTTGTGGTTACTGGAACACGGGTCGGCGGGGAATACTGCTGTCGTGGTGTAAACCGAAGCCGTGAACGTTCTGGAACCACGGGTACCGCTTTTGTGTGCTGCGGTGACGGTTGAGGGTCAGATGGTGCATATGGAAGCTAACACGGTGGCCGTCTACTCGCTCATGGATGAGTTGGAGTTCAAAAGGCGCTTCCCGGCAGTGACTCTTCAACATTCCGACGTCAAATTGCGAGTGTACTTTGGACAACTGGGGGTGGTTGCCGGGAAGGCTACGGTGGCTGCCAAGTTAGCAGAAAGGCACGCTGAGTTGCCTTTGTTCATGGTAAGTGGAGTGTCCCGGGTCCTTCTTGGGAGGAACTGGACGAGTGCTTTCGGCATGCCGCTCGACAGTCTGCTATACGTCCACCGCGTCGACAGTGCGGAGGATTGGGTCGGAAAATTCCCAGAAATGTTTGCGGATGGTCTGGGTGCCCTTCGTAATTCCAAGGCCAAGATAAGGGTGCTTCAAGACGCCAGACCAAGGTTGTTTAGGCCAAGACCGGTGTTGTTCGCAGTTCAGGATCTGGTGGCGCAAGAGCTCCAGCGGTTGCAGCGTGAATGCATCCTGAGTCGGGTGCGCAAGTCGAAGTGGGCAACACCGCTGGTTTCAGTTCTGAAGAAGGATGGAAAGATTTGGCTGTGTGGAGACTTCAAGGTTACCGTGAACCAGGCGGCAGACATAGAGACGTACCCAGTGCCGCGGGTGGCAAAAATCTGGACCAAGTTGGCGGGAGGGGGTGAAGTTCTCGAAATTAGATCTCCGGGATGCCTACAAACAATAGAATTAGATAAAGCATTAAAGGAGTATGTAACTATCAACACCCAGCGCGGACTTTTCCGGTACAACCGGCTTCCGTTTGGTGTGGCTTCGGCGCCTGCAGTGTTTCAACGGGAGGTGGAAAACCTGTTGCAAGGTTGTCACAAGGTGGTCGTCTATTTTCATGATATTCAGTGACGGGCGTGACAGAGGAAGAACATTGCCGTGACCTAGAAATATTGCGGCCTATGAGCAGCGCAAGACTGAATCTGAAGCGGCTAAAGTTCACCTTTGGGGCGTTGAGCGCCGAGTACCTGGGTTACGTTATCGACAAGGTCGGCCTGCATCCCACACCTCAGAAGGTCGAGGCCATTGCCCAAGCAGCTCAGCCAACTGATGTATGTGAACTACAAAGTTACTTGGATGTTCTTAACTTCTTTCGACGTTTTTTTGCCTAACTTGTTATATGTGCGGCATCCGCTGCACCACTTACTCAATAAAATAACATCTAGGAAGTGGAGTCGTGATCAAACGGCAGAATTTGAATCCAGTAAGAAGTTGCTAACGCCTGCTGATGTGTCGATTTATTACAATGCCAAGTTGCCGTTGTTACTATGTTGCGATCCGTCGCCGTACGGCATTGGAGCTGTGTTGGCCAATCGAATGCCAAATGATGCAGAGCGACCTGTGACGTTTGCTTCAAGGAGATTAACAGCAGCAGAAACGAACTATAGACAGTTGGACAATGAGGCTCAGGCCGTGATGTCCGGGGTGCTGAAATTTCACAATACGTCCGGGGAAGGTTATTTGAAGTGTATACATACCACAAGCCATTGTTGGGTTTGATTGGGCCCCTTTGCCGCATTCCGCTGCAGACTTCACCGCAGGTGCTGCGGTCGGCGTTGACACTGAGTGGCTACAATTACCAAGCTGTCCTACAGGCCAGGTGCCAGTTTGGGTAATGCAGATGCCCTGAGTCGACTGCCACTACCAGTCAAAGCGTTGGAGGAGTCGAGAGTCCTCGATGTATTCATGCTCGGGAGGCATACCCAACGGTTCTGTTTGTCGCACTCGTGGAGGCGGCGACTGGTCAAGACCTAGTGCTGGCTCCACCATCCGGAGCATAGTGGCGGCCATTTTTTAACCGCATGGTGGAATTCTCGGTGATGGAAGGCTGTGAGCTACAGAGGAGCCGTGTGGTGGTTCCAGCGTCGCTGCGAGCGGCAGTGCTGGATCTGTTACACGGGGGTCGCCCTGGGGTGGAGAAGATGAAGCTGGTGGGCCGAAGTCACGTGTGATGGCCGCCATCAGTGATGACATTGCGACCAGAGCGGGCACATGTACGGTCTGCCAAGTGCAACGAAAGGCTCC